ATTTCCGGATAATTACACATTTGGCCAAATTTCATTTAATTATTATTATTTTCACTGAATATTCATAACCCACACATACAACATAATAATTTCACCCACGCACGCATACAACATAACAAATTTTGATAACCAACACATACAACAGTAATCATAGCAGGTACCACCACAGTCAGTACGCTCTACTGTTACATTTTTAAGAGTAGGTTTGAAATATTTTTTGGACCCGGGCAACGCCAGGTACTTCCCGCTCGTAGCCTATATAGGGCAAAAGAGCCTCATTCCAAGCATCCAATCAGAATACCAGCGTGGTCACTCAACAGAGACAGCAAACCTGAAGGTCATCTATGACGCCCTCCTGGCAGCTGACCATGGTGAAGTCACGCTACTCTGCTTACTAGACCTGTCTGCTACTTTTAACATGTTTGATCATAACATTTTAGTCAGCCACCTTCGAATTGTTTATGGTATACAAGGTACTGTGCTTGATAAATTGAGTCCTGCATCACAGGTCGGACACAAAGTGTCAGCTCTGCCAGTAACCTGTCACACAGGTGACTCTTCCTACTTTATCCTGCGGATGTCATCGGCATCGCTTGCTGTCATAGTATCGGCATGCATTCATATGCCGACGACACACAACTTTACTTCCATACAAAATCTGACTTGTGCGTCTCACACGTTCCACGCCTCATTGTGTTTCAATGATATAAAAAAACTGGATGACATCAAACCATCTGAAGCTTAACTGGATTAAGAATAAAATCATGGTGCTTGGGACCCACGATCAGATTTCTAGAGTCAAACGTGAGCTTTTCCACATAGACGGCTGCGACATCCCAGTGTCAGATGATAATAAGAACTTACATTTGCCACTCACATCAGGCACTTGAGCGAACGATGCTTCTACCTGCTTCGACAACTCCGCAAAGTCTGTCGTGCTCTAACTGTGGAGACTGCGAGGATGTTCATCCACACATTCATCATCATCTGCGGGGACTACTGCAACAGTATCGTCAGCTGTGCTAGCTCTTTTCACCTGCGGCAACTCTAGTCCAGTGTTAAATGCTGGAGCTCGTCTGATAGTTAGGAAACATAAATATGATCGGATCACGAGTTTGATACGTGATGAGCTGCACTGGCTACCTATTAAATACAGAATTGCGTATAAATGATGCCTACTCGTCTTTAAGAGTCTCCATCAATCTGCTCCGTCCTATCTCGCCGATCAGTGCATACCGGCTTCAACAGACCTACATCGAATCCGACTACAATCTGCAGCTTGTAGCGACCTGCTGCTGTACCTGCGTGTAAACCTCGTGTAGGGGTATCAGGGGAAGGATTCCCACCAATAGGTGGGTTAGTGGGAGGGGTGATCGAGGAGCTATAAGGAGAGAACGGGCGGGAAGAGGGGGCCTTTGGCGGGAACGATATTGGGACGGCTGGGGACAGGTGTGGATGGAAGAAAAGGATTAAAGGACGAGACCCCTGCAATCTTGTGTCGGCTCTCCTTTACACTCGCATGCGATATGGCCAGCGCAGTTTCAGCGTCTAAGGCTCAAGTACCTGGAATACGCGACCAGCTCATGTTCGGAATCCATTCCTGTGTCTGAGCCAGTTCCACAACAGACTCAAGATGGTGGTGTTGTTTCAGCGAGCCCACTTCAAAGTGTAATGTCTCATGGATGAAGCTTCAACTTTTGTAACTGAGGTCACGCAATTCACGCACTTGAATATATACACCTCATCTGTGCAAAGAGAGCTTCACAGCTCATTGGATTCCTCCTGTATGAATACATGTTCTGATTCGATCGTAGCCTTCCCAGAGGAATACAATCACTCTGCGAGCTCTGGCAGAGTGGTTATTTGGCTTACTCTTCTGCGTTCACCACACCCGTCGTCTTGAAGTAAGTGCTCAGTTGCCCACAGCGTTACCCCCACCGCACGCGCGCGACCTGCCTGCCTACCATGTGCTTTGTGGTGTAGCCCAGATGTTCAAACATCAAACATATCAAACAGATACCTGTCGCAAGGTAACACGTTTCAAAGGCAATGCGCAGATATTATTTGAGCGTGTTTGTTTGCATGTTTTTGCTACAGGTATCTGTGGGCTAACGCAGTACTTGATGCTGCCTTGCAATCTTCGATATCTGTTTGGTTGTTTGTACATCTAAACACAACTCCTGTTTTAGTATTGCCAGACAGGGTAAAAACCCTATTCTTATTTGTTTTCCGTAATTTTTTTTATACTGGAAAAAAGAATCCCATAGCCGTTTACACAGAGCGCGGTGGAGCACCCGGGGTAGAGATCAGGGGTTATTTAAGACACTTGCCACGCTGGAACGGCGATCTCAGGATCGCAAAGTGCAGCACGAGGTCGTCCTCACCACCACCACTACGAGAAACGCCAGCGGCAGCAGCAGCAATGCGCTGAGTCGCCCTTGGAGTCCTCCACTCCGTGGCGTCATGGCCACTTCCCCCTTCTTGCGCTGTCTCCACGGCAGGCGCTGCACGGCTCCTCCCGTGTCCATGGATCCACACGCTCCGCACTCCTAGCCGTGTCCTCCTTTCACAAGTTGCCGTTTGGAACGATGTTTCTAATTCGTCTGCGGGGAGTGGGTGGGGGAGGTTATCCAATTGTAATGCGAGCGTGAATGAGGTTGCTGCTGGACTCTAGCCCAATCACACGACCCAGGTATTGGAGGTGGAGCCAGCAGGGCAGTAAGAGAAGAGCGGATCTGACGATCCGGAAGGAAGGAGTCAGGGTCACGTGAGAGAGGGGTTATAGGGGGGAGCCCGGAAGAGATCGGGGACAGTCGATTGAGTGAAGAGGCGGAACCACATTGGGTGACCATCGCGCCATCAGCCGCGTGGCTGATGGGGCCAGCGGTGTGGCTGCAGAGTGTGCTAGCGGAGTGACTAGCAGAGTGTGCGGGGCACACGGGGCTGGCGGAGAGGCTAGCAGAGCGTACGTGGCACGCGAGAGGAGACGCTGGTCTCTTGTCGGGACCAGTGGGGTGAAGGGACGAGTTGAAGAGCTGAGGAGGAAGCGAGTGCGCGGGGCGCGCGAGAGACGACGCTAGTCCGAGGAGGAGGCCAGCGGGGTGCGGAGGAGAAGAACCCAAATAAAGGACGAACGGAGACTTTCATCGCCTGCAGAGTCCTTTATTACACAATTCAATAAAACGACGTTAAAAATCTGAGTTCAGACTGGCGAGAGATGTGACCGCTGTCGCGTTTCAGTTTCACTTTGTCTCTTGCGTCAGAGTGCGTGGAGGGCAAAACACGAGCTTTTACCAGGTTTGGGGCCATCCATAAATGACGTCACGAGATTTTGGACGATTTTTAACCCCCCCCCCCCCCTTCGTCACATGGCGTCACAAAAAGTCAGACCCCCCCCCTCAAATATGATGTCACAAAGGTCTGCCCACCCCCAAATTGTGTTTAACATGCATCAAAACGTTTTAAACTATAGTCATTGTAGTGCGTATTTAATGTGGCGCTGCACTCCGATGTTGTAGGAAAAAACATTTATTAAAAAGTATATTTAATTAAGTAGAACGTGTCGTCTATATTTTTTTAAAGTTGCGCATTTTGATGTGACGTCACATTTCTCAACCCCCCCCCCCCCCTTGTCACACATCAAAAATGTCTGACCCCCCCAGGTGCGTGACGTCATTTATAGATGGCCCCTTAAGGTCCCACTGAGCTGCTGTGCAGCTCTTTTTCAGAAGCCCTGACCTGGCTATCACAAATGATAGCTCAACGAAGTGGCTGACGTCATCATCATCACGTGGAAATGTTTAGTAGCTGCCAAATAACTCTAAACGCACGTTTCTACAGACTCAGAGACCCACGTTGATGCAAAGATCAAAATAGAGCCATAAATAACCATAGAGACCCACAAAGACGTAAACCCAGAGACCCATACTCATCGAGACCCATACTAAAACTAAATTCTTCTTTTAATTTGACCAGGTAAGGCCCCACTGAGCTGTCTAGCTATTTTCAGAAGTGACCTGGCTAACAAATGATAGCTCAACGAAGTTAATTATCACGTAAACATTTATAGCAGCAGACAAATGTTCTAAACGCGTAACGTTGATTCGAAATGGAAGGAAAACCCGGAAGATCCGGATAAAAATCCACTCAGTGGCCACCAGAGGGAGAAAAAGAGACACGCAAACTCCAAATATACAGCAGTAGTAAGTCGAGATCGAACCTACGACCTTCTGCATACCAGGCGAGGTGGTTAACATTTCCTCCTAGCCACCATGGTGTCCTCGGGAAGTATATAATTGGTGTTTAAACGTCTTAACACATCTTGTTTTATTGCCAGATGGGTTAAAGCCTACTCTTAATTTTTTTTCTCAGGGAGAGAGTAGAGACGTGGACATTGACAACAACAGCAACAAAAAGGCTCGAAGCTTTCGAGATGTGGCTGTATCGAAGAATGCTGAAAATCCCATGGACAGCCAAAACCACCAATACACAAGTTCTGCAAGATATGGGCACTGACAGGCAACTGCTGAAGACCATCATTAGCAGGAAGTGTTACTACCTAGGCCACATTGCCCGAAACGACCACAAATACCAGCTATTAAAGCAAATCCTGGAAGGAAAAATCGAAGGGAAAAAAACGACCAGGACGGCCAAAAACGACATGGCTCAGTAACATCAAAACATGGCTACAATTAACAACAGCAGCACAAACTCTACACGCCGTGCTAGACCGGGACCAATATCATCGTGAAGTCGCACACGCCGTTAGGCAGCACTAAAGAAGAAGAAGGGAGGGAATAGACGGGAAAGAGAAACGAGCCAACAGCGAGAGGCGGAGAGAGAAAGAGAGGGCGAGCGAGACCATGAGATAGGGTTGGTGGATAGAAGGAGGACGAAGCAGGGGGGGGATTGCAGGCCTGAGCCAATAAATTGTGTTGTTGTTTTCGTTGTCATGCCGCGACTTGCAGTGTTGAGGAAGTAGCTCAAGAGGTGCGCAGAACTCCCCGCGTGCACATAGAAGAGGTGCGAGATTGCGATACAGCAGAGGCACAGAGAGATAGCGACAGATGAGGGTGATGGGGGAAAAGGTGAGAGATAGACGCAAATGATAGAGAAACGAGAGAGAGAGAGAGACAGGCGAGAGAGAGACGCAGGTGCGAGAGACAAGTGAGAGAGAAAGGTGAGAGACAGGTGAAAGAGACAGGTGAGAGAGACAGGTGAGAGATAGACACAGGCGAGGGAGACAGGTGAGAGAGAGATAGATGCAGGTGAGGGAGAGAGACGACAGAGACGTACAGGTGAGAGGCAGACGAGAGAGAGGTGAGACAGCTGGGAATAAAGGTCAGCGAGACACACGCAGGTGAGCGAGAGAGAGAGAGAGAGAGACAGGTGAGAGAGAAAGATGAGAGACACAAGTGAGAGAGACAGGTGAGAGAGACAGGTGAGAGACAGACACAGACGAAGCAGACAGGTGAGAGAGAGATAGACGCATGTGAGGGACAGACAGAAGCGACAGAGACGCACAGGTGAGAGGCGGACGAGAGAGAGGTGGGCCAGTTGAGACAGCTGGGAATACAGGTCAGCGAGACGCACACAGGTGAGCGAGAGAGACAGGCGATAGATACACAGGTGAGAGGGGCAGGCGACAGAGATACACTAGTGAGATACCCAGGCGAGCAAGAGATGTGAGAAAGACACAGGTGATTCACAGACTCTCTCTCACACTGACACATGCGCGTGTTAGAGATAGGGGAGCAGTGCAGGACGCCATGGATTTGAAGAGCCGTGGAGTTTCCCGCCTTCTCATCCTTACCCGGGTGAGTCCCCGTGCACGTAGCGACACAGAGACAAAGGAACGCATCTCCGTCACCTTCGAGGGCTGTTGCTGTCGCACCTTTGAGAGATAGAGACGGGGGGGGGGGGTTACAGTGGGCTTGCAGGAACGGTCAACACGATGGCACCGGAGCTCGGAACGCGCCTCTTTGTATCATTGCGCGTGCTTGTTGGACCGTGCGTGGGTTTTTTTGTTGTGCGGCCGGTTTCTTGTTGACCCCCCGACCCGCACCTGAGATTTAGCAACGATAAAAAAATGTTTACTTTACCAGGTTAAATCCACAGAGTTCCAGAGACCTATACATGACCATAGATACCGACGGATACTCACAGAAACAAACAGAGACCCACAGACACCCATCGAGACCCAAGCTAAAGCTTAACGATGTTTTATTTTACCAGTTAAGGCCACTAAGCTACGTAGCTCAGAAGCGACCTGGCCATCACAAAATGATAGTAGCTCAACGAAGTGGCTTATCATCACGTGGGAATTACAGACGCCTGGAGACCCATAGAGATCAATAGACTAAACTAAACTATTTTATTATTTTACACGCTTTTATTAACTCACTCCGTCTGTTGTCGTATCCGTTAAAATTGTTGTAATTCAATTTTTACCCACTTCCCAATGTGCTATCGACTGCAAACTTGGTATACTTATGTCATACTGATGACAAGACTATATTCTATCATGAAAAAAATAAATAAACATTTTACACGCTTTTATTTAACTCACTCTGTGTGTTGTCGTATCCTCAAATATTGTAACTCAATTTCAACCGTCTTCCCCATGTCGTATCGACTGCAAACTTGGTATAGGTATGTCATACTGATGACAATATGATATTCTATCATAAAAAAATATATATTTGTAAACAATATTTTTTACGGGTCTAATTGTCCACGCTCAACTCACGTTGCCTGTAAATCACCACTGTCCCTTAAGCTATGGCAAGCTGTGGGGCCACTTCCTGGAGTCGTGGAGTTCTGCCATTACGAGTACGGTACATTTCATTAAAGCGTGTTTTTTAAAAAGTATGTTTTTTATATTTTATTAGTATGGGACCAGGTAAGGCCCCACCCAGCTATGTAGTTTTTTTTCAGAAGCGACCCGGCCACATTCATAGCACCTCAGCGAAGTGGCTGATATCATCATCGCGTGGAAATGTGCTGCAGCAGTCAAATAATTCTGAACGCGTGGTGATGTTGATTCCGAATGTGGAGGGGAAAAAACCCGGAGGATCCGGAGACAAATCCACGCGACCACGGGGAGAGAGACGCCCGTAAACTCCGAATATACAACAGCAGGGGTCAGGGTCGGGATCGAACCCAACGTACCTCTTGCGTAAGGGGCCGTCCATAAATGACATCACGCGATTTTGGCGGATTTTTTATCCCCCCCCCCCCCTTCGTCACACGACGTCACAAAAAGGAAGACCCCCACTCAAATATGACATCACAAAGCTCTGCCCCCCTACCCCCCCCCCCCAAAATAAAAAAAATTCAAATCGCTTTAAACGATTGTCATTGTAGTGGGTATTTAATGTGGCGCTGGAGAAAACATTAAAAAAAAGTATATTTATTTAAAGTTGCGCATTTTTACGTGACGTCACATTTCTCAACTCCCCCCCCCCCCATCATCACACATAGTCACAAATGTCTGACAACCCCCCCCCCTAGATGCGTGACGTCCTTTATGGACGGCCCCCTATCTACATACAAAGACAAATTTCCACCATGACCCCCATCCTCCATTAAGCCGCGGAATGCGGGCAGCTTTGTTCCGCGTGGAACCTCTGACACTGATGGCGACACGGCGGCTCGTTAAGTGAAAATAATCGCTGGATAAACAAATCTGCGCCCCTATCCCCCCAACCCTAAATGACGCTGGGGGCCTCGGTTTATCTCCGGTCCCTCCTTCCACGCGGCTACGCTCGACAAATTTTTGCGACGAAGACTCCTTAAATGAAAATAATCGCGTGATAAAACACGTTCCTTCGGAGTGGGCAGGTAGGAACTTGGTTGGACAGCGCATTCATGCGATCGTGGTGCTGAGCCTGCTGAAGCGCTCTCTGAAATACAAATCGAGGGCGTGGCTCTGCACGACATACAGACAAACAAATAATCCCTGGTTGGCAGTGTGGAACTGTTGTTCCTACCTGTATATATTAATTATTATCAACAACAACTTTCATTGGAGTGCTGTTCATTGCTGACCCGATGACATGTTGGGCTTCTGGAGCTGTGCTCAGCAACCATAGCGAATGAAAACGAGCAGGCGTTTTGTCCAGGCCATGCATATTTCTTCCAGTAAAATTGGTCGCGTGATAAATCAATCTGCCCCCCCCCCCAATCCCTCCAACCCTAAATGGCGCTCGGGGTCTCGGTTTGTCTCCCGCAGTTCCTCCTTCTCCTCCCCGCACTCATCGTCACCTCTGCCCACGCGGCTGCGCTCAACGAAGGATGCGCCCGAGGCTTCTTCACAACACGGAGCGGCCTCTGCTGCACCCTCTGCCCCGCAGGTGAGAGAGACGGACTCTTTTACTTGATACATCAATCGTGCTGTGACGGTTCCACCTGAAGACGGAAGCTTGTGTTGCCTCCGAAACGTCGTGATTTAGTATTTTATTTCTATTATTTCCTCTATTATTTTTATTACTTATTTTTTTTATTTTTACCTACGTGACTTTACCGAAAAAAACCTAAGAGTATGAATCCCTGCAGTCACGAAAGCTTCAAATCTGGACGTGTCTGCCAGACGCGCGGGCGGTTCTCCTTTCACCACTTTTTTTTGCTGCCGCCTTTGCAACACCCCCCCCCCCTCTTCGGGTTCTCGATTTGTTAAGCAAAAATTAAGGGATAATGTCAATAAGGGGCCGTCCATAAATGACGTCACGCATCTAGGGGGGGGGGGTCAGACATTTGTGACGATGTGTGACGATGGGGGGGGGGGTTTGAGAAATGTGACGTCACATCAAAATGCGCAACTTTAAATGAATATAGACAACACGTTCTACTTAATTAAATAGACTTTTTAACAAATGTTTTCTCCTACAACATCAGAGTGCAGCGCCACATTAAATACGCACTACAATGACAATAGTTTAAAGCGATTTGGGGGCAGATCTTTGTAACGTCATTTTTGAGGGGGGGGGGTCTGACTTTTTGTGACGCCGTGTGACGAAGGGGGGGGGGGGGTCAAAAATCGTCCAAAATCGCGTGACGTCATTTATGAACGGCCCCTAAACACGTAGGGGTTTGACGTTCCTCAGCGTAGTTGTAACTCGCGTATCTCGTACTTCGTTCGCGTTGTCGATTATTTAACTTCCAAAAGGAAACCTTCTGGCCATGTCTCGCACTACCCGCCCCCCCCCCAGAAAGGGCATCTCGCACCCCCAGGGTGGTGCGTGTACACCAGGGTAAGAACCACTGACCTACAACAGCAGCAGCAGCCGTAGCAGAAGCAGCATCAGAACAGCAGCAGCATCAGAACAGCAGCAGCAGCCACCGTTCGTCCCACTCAGTTGGAGTGTGTGGAAGGCTCTCCCTGATTCTGCTGCCGACAAGAGGAGGAGGTCACGGGACATGGCCCAGGTGCCGTGGGTTGTACTACTGTGCCAGGCTAGGTGCAGGAGGAGGTCACGGGACACCCCAGGTGACATGGGTTGTCTGAGATGACCGGCAGATGCACAAATTGTGCTCGCTCCTGTTCCCACCTAGCTGCGTTTTATTAACGCGGCACTCTGCTCGTTTTTGTGAGCATTTCTCCTCCGCTATTGCTGGAGGGCGACTGCCTCCAACTGCCCAGTAGCCTCAGAGTGCCGAAAGTTGGCAAATGGCCTCTTTCGGCATAGTTTCTGTTTCGGCCGAAGCCAAAAAGTTAACTTTTGGTTTACTTTCGGTTTTGGCCGAAAGTAAATTTTTTCTTTCGGTCTTGTTTCATTATCGGCTGAAACTAGAAATTAAGTTTCGGTCGGCCTCTATAGGCGACGTAGTTAACATCTCGTAGGGTCGGGATCGAACCCACGACCTCCTTCATACCAGGCGAGGTAGTTAACTTCTCACAGGGTCCGGATCGAACCCACGACCTCTTGCATACCAGGTTAAGGGAGTTAACATCTAGTCACCACGCCGTCTGTCTCCAAGCCCACAGCCCTTCCCTTGCATTCTCTCCACCACCCACATCCCTCGTCGTTTATTGATTAATTACCGCAAAGTGTTCCCATCACACGATCACCCCCGCCCACCCCACCCACCCCACAGGGACTTACAAAGCGAGCGACTGTGCGAGCGATGGGAGACCGGCTTTGTGCGAGATCTGCTCTCAAGGGACTTTCACGGACCGCCCGCACAACGAGACCCGATGCTCAGAGTGCAGGCGATGCGGACCAGGTGATGAGTGGGGCCACCGCCACCACCACCGCCGTCACCGCCACCACTGCCACCACCACCGCCATCACCGCCACCACTGCCACCACCAACGCCGCCGTCACCGCCACCACTGCCACCACCACCACCATCACCGCCACCACTGCCACCACCAATGCCACCGTCACCGCCGCCGCCACCACTGCCGCCACCAACGCCGCCAGTAGCAGCAGCAGCGTCATCCTCGTCATCGTCACCACCAGCATCAAAACCACCAGCAGCATCGTGGTTGCATGAGGAGGAACCCACGGTACCGTGGTCGCTAGGAGATGTTAACTCCCTCGCCTGGTATACAGGAGGATGTGTGTTCGATCCTGACCCTGACGCTTGCTGCTGCTGTATATTTGGAGTTTGCGTCTCTCTCACTCTTCAACACACCGATGGGCTCAAGTAGTGAACTATTTGTCTTTTGTCAACGTGACACTTTTTTGCTGATTGGCCGTGTCGGGTGGTGGAGGGTTACGACACATTTATAAATAACGCAATCTGAACCCAAAAAAACGTTTATTATGAGTTTTCTACGGGTCCTCCGGTTTTTATCCTCCACATTTAGAATCAAACGTCACACGTTCCGAGAGTACTTGGCTGCTGTTATAAATTCCCACACGGCGATGATGATGATATCAGCCACTTCCTTGAGCTGCTATCATTTGTGACGGCCAGGTCGCTTCTGAAAAATATCTATACAGCAGCTGAGTGGGGCCTTACCTGGTAAAATACAACGAAAAATTAGTTTGTTTTGTTGTAAAATGAGCGGGACGGCAACAGCGGCCGCGCGAGGGGCTGCCGCCGATTATCCAAGCTCTGCGGTCTTCTGTTTATGAAGGTGTTCTCGGCCAACCCTTTTGCCATTCCGATGACGCACCTGCTGCTTATGGCTACGTCATCAAATATCGTTATCGGTACACTGAGGCTCGAGTGGTGTGGCGCGTTTTTTTGCCGCCGGCTATCATGGAGCTGCGGTTGTGGCGGTCGTGTCGCTAGGGTTCTCTGCTGTGAGTGACGACGTCTTGATATAAAAACAACAACGGCGCTGCTGCTACGTCTTTCTCTCTAGATAAAATGAACGCCGAGTCCGCTTTGCGTGTTCAGTGAACGGGGACACTCACCACCCATGCACCCTGCGACTTGCGACTGTCATCGGAATGGGAAAAGGGTTAATACGTGTGCATACATGTGGGAGGAAACCAGAGCACCCGGAGAAAATGTGAGGGAAAAACACTCGATCCAATTTTCAGACAAAACAGCCTTCTCCTGGCATAGCCTGGGGTACAGCTCCTCATCGACGCCTACCCACAGGTAGAAGGGAGTGAGATGGAACAAATGGAGATTAGTCCATACACTTTGAAGGGAGTGCGATGGAACAGATGGGGATTAGTCCACACACTTTGAAGGGAGTGAGATGGAACAGATGGGGATTAGTCCACACACTTTGAAGGGAGTGAGATGGAACAGATGGGGATTAGTCCACACACTTTGCATTAAAACATTCGTGCGGTGATCCACCAACCCTAGCTGCTGCCATCCACAGTGTGAGGGATCACAGGCGGTCACGTGCAGCAAGCGTAGCCACCACCACCACCACCAGCACCACCACCATGAGCAGCACCCCCACCACCAGGTCCAACAACAACAACCGCCATTCGCCACTAAGTGGCGGTGACATCTCACGATGCTTATGCCAGGCTACGTGCACTTTAAGGCCACGTGGAGTATCGAACGCCCGCTGGCAGGAGGTCACGCGACAGACCCTGCAGGTGCCATGTGTTGTACTGCTGTGCCAGGCTAGGTGCATGAGGTGGAGGTCACGGGACACACCCTGGAGGTGTCATGGATTGACTGAGATGAGTGGCCGATGCACCACCTGTGCCTCCTAGTGTGCCAAATTGCTGTGTTTTAGCCGCCCGATGCCCCGCTTGCACCACCAGCACCACCACCACTGCCACCATCTCCACCTCCATCACCACCACCTGCAGCAGCACCACCACCATCACTGGTGCCACCAGCTCCACCTCCATCACCTCGACCACCACCATGACCACACCAACGCTCATCATCGTGACCAAACCCCAAGACGGTCTCTCCACCACCATTTCTCGTTTTCTCCAGATGAGGAGGTGGCCGTGAACTGCTCCGTGGGGCAGGACGCAGTGTGTCGGTGCAAGGAGGGGTCCGTGAGGGATCCCCACTCGTGGCTCTGCACTTCTGAAGGGCCCAATCCAAGCTCAGGCAAGACCATCACCGTGCCTCGAGTACCACAGCCAGGAATAAAAACACATGCACACACACCAGTGATGTGCGGTGGTTGTGCATCGTTGCAAGTTGAAGTTATCAGTGTAAAGTTTAACACTTAGTAGGTAGGCTTTCGCGACCAATATCATCCATAATGGAGGTTTGTCTGGGTTGGATCGTGTAAATTTAAATGTGTCGTTCAAACCCGCCACACCTGACACAGCCGATAAGTAAGGAGTTTACACTATGAGACATCTCCTTTACCAGTGGCAAAATATAGTAATAGGTTTTTACTCTTTCAACTGGTATAAAAACTGATACCTTTATACAAGGGATCATCTTTGCAATAACTACAACACAAGCAGTCAAAATGCAAACAAAAAGAAACAACTCTGATAATGATAATGATATGCACTGTCCTTGAAGTTGATTGGTCCACACCAGAGACAGCTTTTCTTAGAGCCTAGTCTCCATTGGTGTTGGACCAGATGACTCCAAAAGGCGTACAACTCAAAAACAGTGCACTATCAGAGTATTGAGAGCTCGGGGTAAGCATTTACACTATGAGACATCTCCTTTACTAGTGATAAAATATAGTAATAGGTTTTCACCCTTTCAACTGGTTATTGCAAACATGATCCCTTGTATAAAGGTATTAGTTTTTGTACCAGTTGAAAGGGTAAAAACATATTACTACAGTAAGGAGTTTGTCACGTAAACAAAATATGCCAGTGCATTACTAGTAAAGCACTAACCGGTGTGTTGGAGAGTAAACCCACAACATTTACAATTCGAGGGCATGTTGTGAGTTTACTATCTAACACACCGGTGTGCTGCACTAGTAAGGAATTAGGACGTTCTGTTTACGTGACAAACCTTACTAATTGGCCATCTCGGGTGATGGCGGATTTAACGACGCATTTATATTTACGCGATCTAACCCAAGCAAATTTTGTTTGTTAATGAACAAAAAAAATATCGTGGTAGAGAATAGAGCCAATCGATTATGTGCATGCTCAATGACGACACTTTCCTGCTCCCACCCAGCAGAAGACTCGGCCCACTGAGTGGATGACAGCAGCAGAACCACAGCCAATCAACATCAGTCAAATTCTGCCCACCCACTCTTTTGTAAAGCTATTACAACTACTGTGCTGTAGGGGCGATCACGTTTGATCTCGGATTAACCGGAGCAACGGTTTAAGCACAATGTGACTTGTAACAAACATTTCCAAGAATAACAATGTTGCATGACTTTTTTTTAGATTATTAATTTGGGCTTAAGGGAAAATTCCCGAGTCATAAATTTGCGTGAAAATATCAGTGTGCACGGTTAATCCGGCGAATCGGATAAACCGCACGCTCGATAATTGAGTCTACTGTGCAGGGTAGAGCACAGTCCACGCGATAACACTGGGAGATGATGTGTAATGCAGGCCGAGCAAAGGCTTGCGCAGGGTAGCAGCGGCCAGAAGCATCCAGCAGCATCCCAATGCCCTCGTTTTTTTTCTGTTTTCTTTTTTTGCTGCCATCCCAGCAAACGCCCTGACAGACAACGTAGTCATCATACTGGTGTGCACCGTCGTTGCGTTTGGTGTCGTGATCGCCACCCTCGCCGCCCTTGCCTGGCATTGGAGGAAGCTGATGAATTCTCGTAAGTGGGAGCACCTCCTCCATTGCACCTACAAACGACTGCACCGTCCCCTCTCCTCCCATCGTGAATCCTTACGAGAGGTTGGGGCGGGGTTGGTGGTGGTGACACAGGTCGGCTAAATAGACATCCACAACCACAGCAACTGCAGGAACAACAACCACAATTAAAAAAAAAAATGTATAAGGTCCCGAGACCGTGATGAGTGGTGGATGAATAATCAAAATAGGTGCTTTGTGTTATCCTTGCCTGACAATAAAATGGGAGGTGGTGTTAAGATGTTCAAACACCAAATAGATTAAACCAGTTTTTTTTTGCAATGAATCATCAAGTACTGCATTAACCACGCACGGTACTTGGGTTGAACATGCAAACAAACATGGCTCTGATGATAATGTACGCATGGTCTTTGAAATCGATTGGCCTACTACACCAGACTTTTTGACTTTTAAACAACTTTTATTGCCGCCAGCAGCAACAGCACTGGAGGCAATTTCAATATGAAATACACAAGTCACCAGCAAACAAATAAAACAAACGCTATAAATCCAAACGTTGTGGCGCTAAATGCACCGCGCACAACACGGAAGAAAAGTCACGTGGTGGTGGTGGTGTTCATCACGTACAGCACGGTGATGAGCGAGCGCTTCAGAAGGTGAACACGAGGGTGCCGTCCACGATGGTACAGAGGGCTTTTCCGGCTCAGATAGCAGCCATCTTCATGGCAGAGTCTCACCACCAGAGTCAATTGACGAGAGAACAACACCTAAAGGCCTTATTTTTCATACGTTGATGCTGACAAAACATTTCCCATTGATGAAACCAATTTTTATTTGACCAGGTGTAAGGTCCCACTGAGCTATGTAGCTCTTTATCAGAAGCAACCCTGCCATCACAAATTATATCAAATGATCTCTGATATCATCATCACGGGAAAATTCATAGAGGCAGTAAAATCACTCCAAACGCGTGATGTTGATGAGTCGGTAACACTCCGCGTTGTTGTTTCTGTCCCCTGGAAAAGTGGGGGGCGACTCCACAACAGTTAAGCACCAGGGATGTAGGGGGGTCGGTTTATGAAACGCCGAAACAAAATTTCAAAGGTCATCTTCATAAGGGCAATTGCTTACCTCTGCAGCAGCGATCAAGACCAAAAAAAAACACCCATCCGCGTCACAACACCGCAGCACCTCAAACTTCTCAGTAGTGATCCACACAACGTTCGAACCCACCTCGCCGCAGGTCACCACGGCGCGTGAAACCGCCAACTCACTCACTCATCCACTCACGTGGCCCATTGGCTGTCCATAGCGGAGGGAGGAGGAGTTCTCCCTGCGCTGCCGGTGGGGACGAGTTCCTCCCCTCTGCCCAGATACGTTTAGACGTTTATCGACGACGGCGACAGCAACGACAAGACGAGTCCATTCCCAGAACCAGCAGCCTTGAGCCCTCAATCTCGGCTCCTTTTATGCTCCCAGCGCGGCCTGGCTCCGCCCTGACCGCGCCTCCCTTCTTGAACTCGCTAGCAGATTCCAGGGTCCTCCAGATGGGGTCCTCTGTGACCCTTACCCTAGTTCCTCCCCTCTGCCCACACACCGTGCACACCCTCACCGGCGTGTGGACTGTTTATCCACAACAGTTACCACTGCTGTCCACCAGCCGGCGCTATTACACTACATATGAATAAATGTGTGTATTTTAATGTACATGTACAGTGAGGGAAAAAAGTATTTGATCCCCTGCTGATTTAGTACGTTTTCCCACTGACAAAGAAATGATCAGTCTATAATTGTAATGGAAGGTTTATTTGAACAGTGCGAGACAGAATAACAAAAAAAATCCAGAAAAACGCATGTCAAAAATGTTATAAATTTATTTGCATTTTAATGAGGGAAATAAGTATTTGACCCCTCTGCAAAACATGACTTAGTACTTGGTGGCAAAACCCTTGTTGGCAATCACAGAGGTCAGACGTTTCTTGTAGTTGGCCACCAGGTTTGCACACATCTCAGGAGAGATTTTGTCCCACTCCTCTTTGCAGATCTTCTCCAAGTCATTAAGGTTTCGAGGCTGACGTTTGGCAACTCGAACCTTCAGCTCCCTCCACAGATTTTCTATGGGATTAAGGTCTGGAGACTGGCTAGGCCACTCCAGGACCTTAATGTGCTTCTTCTTGAGCCACTCCTTTGTTGCCTTGGCCGTGTGTTTTGGGTTATTGTCATGCTGGAATACCCATCCACGACCCATTTTCAATGCCCTGGCTGAGGGAAGGAGGTTCTCACCAAAGATCTGGCCCCGTCCATCGTCCCTTTGATGCGGTGAAGTTGTCCTGCCCCCTGAGCAGAAAAACACCCCCAAAGCATAATGTTTCCACCTTAATGTTTGACGGTGGGGATGATGTTATTTGGGTCATAGGCAGAATTTCTCCTCCTCCAAACACGGCGAGTTGAGTTGATGCCAAAAGGCTCCATTTTGGTCTCATCTGACCACAACACTTTCACCCAGTTGTTCTCTGAATCATTCAGATGTGCATTGGCAAGCTTAAGACGGGCATGTATATGTGCTTTCTTGAGCAGGGGGACCTTGCGGGCGCTGCAGGATTTCAGTCCTTCACGGCGTAGTGTGTTACCAACTGTTTTCTTGGTGAACCTCCTGGTTACACTAGCCCACAGGGGATTATTGTGTCCATCCGTCCGTCGTGCATCCAAAAATGGGAGGGGTGGGGCTGGGTGGAGAGGGGAGGGTGTGGAGGGGCTGGGTGGGGAGGGTGGGGAGGGGCCGGGTGGGGAGGGTGGGGAGGGGCTGGGTGGGGTGGGGAGGGTGGGGCTGGGTGGGAGGTGGGCCGGCTTGTGCCCGCCCTCACAGTCGGCCATATTTGCGGAATACACCACGCCGCCGTTGACCCTGGCCATTGACCGAGCAACCCAACGTTCCTAACAGCTCCCTCCGCAGGAATGTGTTATAAATTACAATAGATATCCATTACCGGTTGGGTGATTAAAAGGGTAATCATAATACATAATGACATTTTTTTCAGTGAAAACGTAATTTAAAGACGGAGTTGGTGAGTGTAATATTGGGTAGTATTAGTATTACCTGCCAGCGAAACGAGTTTCGTTTGCCGGTAATAATCTGCAGACGGTGTAATTCACGTGCGGGCAGAAACTGCTTTCCTCCAACAACAACAACACAAACAACGTGTTTTCCTCCGTGGAGTTGCTTAACTTCAATCGATATACCGTGTTGGGAGAACACAGATGCAACTTCCCGTGAGGCGACAACGTATGCATTGACCGATGGGCGTCGTTGCTTCCAACCTGTTTGTGGGTCTCTGTGAGTGCAAAGGAGCCTGTTGATCACGGTCATCTCTCCCGGTTGGGGCATGATTTTTTATTTGCTTTTACCGATATCTCTTCGCTGTGCTCCCTCGACACGTGTACGAACCTGCGAAGGTATTAAACGATAAACATTTTTTTTGTATCAGAGTAAGATCCCACTGAGCTCTTACGTAGCTCTTTTTAAAAAGCGACTTGGTTATCACATTTATAGCAACAGCCAAATACCCTGAACGCATGTTTATTTTAAATATGGAGGGGAAAACCGGAGGACCCGGAGAAAAATCCACACGACCACAGGGAGAGAGACATACAGACTTCAAATACTGTATGCAGGTGTCAGGGTCGGGATCGAACCCACTACCGCCTGTAAAACAGGTAAAGTAGTTAACATTTTCTAGCCACTGTGGGACTCGATGTAGAATAAGAACCTTATCTAGAAGCAGCTAATATGTAGGAGCAGCAGTATGTTGTACAGCAGCAGTTTGTGCTGTGAAGCCTTTCGCTAGGCATCCTCTACGCCTGATATACTTCTGGCTTCCAGCAACAGACACACTTAGAGTGTGTCAGTTTGAGGACCATTGATTAGATGTTTGTATTCGTTTAACAGTACATATAAAATGTTAAGTGTCTCTTAACTGTGATTCTTAAATGTATTTTTGTGAATGTTTTATGTTAGGTTAGAAACACATGGTCTGAATTTATGTTCAGTTGCCTTGGTAAATAGAGGGCTAAGTTTAGCCAAATCCTGGTTCAGTTGGCTCAAAGGCATGTGGGTTTTGCTCAGGATGTCTCCCGTTTTTTCCCTCCACGTGAACGTTACTTATAATAATAATAAATACGCTAATCACGAATCAGGTGACAAACATCTTAAGCATAAAATCCCAAAGCAGGCTGCTCTCAGAGATTATTATAAAGTGATAATGTGATTCATTGTTAATTTTTTTACCGGGTTTAAGACCCACTGCCCGATATAGCTCTTCTTCAGAAGCAACTTGGCTATCACAAATGATAGCTCAATCAAGTGGCTTATCATCATCACGTGGAAATGTATATCAGCAGACAAATACTTTAAACGCGTGATTGTTGAAAATGATAGGGGAAAAACTTGAGGACCAGAGAAAATTACATGCGACCACGGGGACAGAGAGAGATGCAGACTCCAAATATACAGCAGGTGTCAGGGTTGGCATCGAACCCATGCCCTCATATATACCAGGCGAGGTAGTTAACATTTTCTAGCCACCGTGGCGCCCAATATGTAATCGAGGCAGCGCAAACCTCAATTCTTTGTTCTGCAATGTGTCCACAGGCTCTGGTCGTGAAGAGGGGACCCGACTCATAGTAAATATCTCTGAGACTCAGGTAACGTGGAGGCAACATTGACACCAGTAGCAGCTCAGCTCTCCAGCACCATGTGTGGTGTCTCCACCAATCTTTTAAACCGATGGCACAAATGTACACCACTCGGTAATCACACAGCACAAATTTACATATAGCCTATGACAGTGAATCCATGGTTCTGTGGATTTTTCTCTGGGTTCTCCGTTTTTTCCCCTCCACATTAAGAATCAACGTCATGCGTTTAGTGTATGTGGCTGCTATACATTTCCACGTCCCCTTTGTTGAGCTATAATTTGTGATGCCCAGGTCTCTTTTGAAAAAGAGCTACATAGCTCAGTGGGGCCTTACCTGGTAAAGTAAAACATAGTTTAGTTGTAGTTTATTCTACTGCACGTAGTCAACTGTGCCAATTGGAGGCGCGGCAATCAATGCAAGCATTCTCAATTTAAAATGCTTACAAAATGTGTGGGTTCGGGATCAAACCCACGACCTCCTACATACCAGGCGAGATAGGTAACATCTTCCTAGCCATGATAACGCCCACGGTGGCGATGCGGCAGTGACTCAGAAGGGTGCTAGCTCCGGAGATCTGACCTCTGAACCAATGCATAGCAGCCTCAACCAGTTGTGTACCGTGGGCCCCAGTAGCTTGCACCGACTGAGAGTCTCTTGTGTTTCCCCCCCCCCCCGATCCAAAGCAGGAGGGCGACGACGCCATTGCACCACTGCAGGTGATGAATGACCACTGGGATGAGCTGAAGGAGTGGGTGGGTGTGAACCCCATCCCTCTGCTGGACTACCTGAGCAACAACCGCACGATCACGCGCAGAGTTCACAGCGTGGCCATGAACAAGGGCGGCGAGGAGTGTGTGGAGTTCCTGCTCAACCACTTCATCAATGAGCGAGAGGAAGAGCACCTGAAATTGTGGAACGCTCTCTATGCTGTCAGGAAAAACTACCTGCAGATCTGGAGGATGCTTCAGGAAAACGGTTCGTTGTCCATTGCCCCTGTGCGTAACTAAAGCGTCCGCCGAGGAGTTGCTGGTTGTGGAGTGGATAGGCAGCGTTCGTCCACTAGGGGCGTTGAGAGGGGATATTATTTTTTCTAATAAAAAAACATACATTTTTTGTTGTGTATAAAAAACATATATTGATTCTTTCAACATGAATAGCCTAATGAAGAGAACATTTTAAGTTGTTAATTTTAGAAACCGCTGCAACACAGTCTGATTTGTGCCTCGGGGAGGTTTCAGGGCGGCTGTGAAGGCGTCCGAGTGAGATATTTCCCTTCAGTCATTGCGATCACCGTCGCATTTTAGCCACGCCGTTAGCGACCCATTCAGGGTAGTGAAAAAGGAGCCCGTGGTTGTAATGGCGATGTCACAACGCTAGGCTGCACTGTGCAAATATATCAGGTGAAGGCCTCTACTCTCTAGACGAAAAGAACAATCGTGATGGCAGCAGGTGCAGCAAACGAAGAATGTCAAACAACTAGGTCATGATCAACCAAAAATCTATATAAACCAGCCTTCAGGCGACCGAGAAAAAGCATACGTGAGGACATTTAGCCGGAGCTGGTAGCTATGTGGATGTGCAAAGCAGAATGCACTTTTCTGTTTCCCTTGCCTTGTCTAATTTGTTGAGTCTTGTCAGCTGATTTTTAATTGTTCTTAAGGCTTTTGAAAGCGTCAAAGGGGATGTGTGGTGTGGATTTGAGGGTCATGGGGACATCATTTGAGTGCTTTGTTGTTTTGTTGTCGTATTGTTTATAAATAATTACCGTTGGGAGATAAGACAGTTGTGTCACTTTCATGGGAAGGCCAATCACATGACGAGGTTATTTTAAATTAGAACACCGTCTTTTCAGAGGTCACTCACAACAGCCCCAACCTGTTGGAAATGTCACGAGCCGCCACTGGAAGTAGAGTGCCCTTTTCACTGGTGACGAGGCGCCTCTCGTGTAGAGGCTGCAGGGTGCCGTACACAGCAAAAAATGAAAACAGAAAATAGAATCGTACTATGTATATTAGAAAAAAACAAGTTTTACTGGCTGGCTTGCTGGCTGGAACGTGGCCGGGTGGGAAAGTGCGCGGTGGTGGTCGTCACCGCGTGCATCTGTGTTACGACATAAATCTCCATTGGAACCTCATTTGCCAGTAAAAAATATGATAATTGGTTATTTACCCTTTTATCTGGTCTATGCAAACATGACTCTTTGTAAAAAAAAGTATCAGTTTTGTTGCCAGATAAAAGGGTAAAAAAACAATTATAGTATTACTGGCAAATGAGGCTCCAATGGTGTAAATGCTTACCCCGAGCTCTCATACTCTGATGGTGCATTGTCTTTGAGTTGTGCGCCTTTTGGCGTCATCTGGTCCAACACCATGTGAGACTAGGCTCTAAGGAAAGCTGTCTCGGGTGTGGACCAATCAACTTCAAGGACAGTGCATACATTATCAGACTATGGGAACCTCATTTGCCAGTAAAAATATGATATTCTTAGGTTTTTTCGGTAAAGTCACGTAGGTAAAACATTAAAAGTAAAATAAAATAAAAATCACGACGTTTCGGAGGCAACACAAGCTTCCGTCTTCAGGTGGTACCGTCACAGCCACGACAGCTGTATCAAGTAAATGAGAGATTGCAGGAGCTACCACTCCGTTTATATAATGGTTGGAGAAGGTGGTGGGGCAAGGGCCGCATACTTTTTATTAATATGGTAAGGTGAGGCTTAAGACTAATAATAGACTGCATAACAAAGGTTGAGCCTTTGTTATGGAGAGGTGCGGTTTGTGACTCAACCTGTGACAGGGAGACCACCACTAAACATGGTAAAACTGTAATGGTTGTCTGTCAAATAAGGTTGGCAAATAAGTGTAGTTAAATCTTTTTTGCATGGCTAATCACATCTTTCCAATGATTACTCAGTTTGTAACCGTCATCACGGTTGAAATTATGTCTGTGTTTGTATATTTGTATGGCTTCGTGTACAAACCTTTGATGGTAGCCAGGTTTGCAGAGAACCTTGGTCTCGGAAAATACAATTTCATGAGAGCCCACCGAGTTGTAGCAATGATCGGCAACGGCCGAAGAATCAGTTCTGCCGTGTTTCAGATCTGACTTGTGCTCGCGGACACGATCAGAAACATGACGTTTCGTTTCTCCAATGTAGCAATCACCACAAATGCAACTCAATTTGTAGACTCCAGGATACTGTAAGTCAGGAACGACATCCTTCACAGATGGAATCAAATCACGGATTTTATGCACTGTACTGAATCGGACTTGGATCTTATGTTTGTTTAGAATTTTGGAGATCTTTTTGGTTACGCCTGCTATGTATGGCAAGGTGATAGTTTTGGTCGGAGTTTCATGTGGCTGTTTCTGTATGGTGGGAGAAACAGCTTGGCGGATAGTGCGGTCAGAGTATCCGTTCATCCCTAACTCTGATAAAAAATATATATATATGATAATTGTTTTTTTACCCTTCTATCTGGCAACAAAACTGACACCTTTTTACAAGGAGTCATGTTTGCATAGACTGCAATACCTGCAGTCATAAGACAAACAAAAGAACATAACTCTGATAATATGCACTGTCCTTGAAGTTGATTGGTCCACACCCGAGACAGCTTTCCATAGAGCCGAGTCTCACATGGGTTGGAACAGATGACGCCAAAAGGCGCACAACTCAAAGACAATGCACCATCAGAGTATGAGAGTTCGGGGCAAGCATCTACATTATGGGAACCTCATTTGCACATTATCAAAGTTATGATCTTTTGTTTGTATTATGACTGCAGGTATTGCGGTCTATGCAAACATGACTCCTTGTAAAAAGGTGTCAATTTTGTTGCCAGATATAAGGGTAAAAACAAATTATCATATTTTTACTGGCAAATGAGGTTCCCATAGTGTAGATGCTTGCCCTGAGCTCTCATACTCTGATGGTGCATTGTCTTTGAGTTGTGCGCCTTTTGGCGTCATCTGGTCCAACGCACGTGAGACTCGGCTCTAAGGAAAGCTGTCTCGAGTGTGGACCAATCAACTTCAAGGACAGTGCACATTATCAGAGTTATGTTCTTTTGTTTGTATTATGACTTCAGGTATTGTGGTCTATGCAAACATGACTCCTTGTAAAAAGGTGTCAGTTTTGTTGCCAGAGAGAAGGGTAAAAAAAACAATTATCATATTTTTACTGGCAAATGAGGTTCCCATAGTGTAGATGCTTGCCCCGAGCTCTCATACTCTGCTGGTGCATTGTCTTTGAGTTGTGCGCCTTTTGGCGTTATCTGGTCCAACCCATGTGAGACTCGGCTCTAAGGAAAGCTGTCTCGGGTGTGGACCAATCAACTTCAAGGACAGTGCACATTATCAGAGTTATGTTCTTTTGTTTGTATTATGACTGCAGGTATTGCGGTCTATGCAAACATGACTCCTTGTAAAAAGGTGTCAGTTTTGTTGCCAGATAGAAGGGTAAAAAAACAATTATGGTTTTTTACCCTTTTATCTGCAACGTTTGGAGCCGCACAGATGAAAATAGATGGCAATTAGTCTACCTGCCCGAACCACTGTGATCTTCCACGAAGCTGCTCAAACCATGGACAGCAGCAGATGGAAGGGCTGTCCACTACAGTTCGAAGGGCTGTCCACTATTGCTGAAATCTTAATGAAGCCTCTGATGGTCCTATATCCCGATTTTATATTAAATTTTGCAGCACTTTGGTGATTCCTGTTGGAACTTACAGATCCTCTATGGTGGGACTTGAATCCATCCACAGCGCGGCGTGATCTAAGTGTCGAGCACGATGACCACCCAACCTACCACACGGTCACATTCTGCAACCTGCCTTTACATAGCGTGTTTCTGTCACTGCAGGGAATGCGGTGCAGGCCATTTCAAAATCCAGGCCACAGCTGATCGCCTGGATCGGCACGAACCCGCGGCACCTCCTTCTGCAACTCATCAACCAGTCGCTGATACCAAGAGACACGTTGGCCAAAGTCAGGGTGGCGCAGAGTGACGAGCAGGTGGCTGGGATCCTGCTCGACTTCTACGTTGGCCGAGGCAACGACGACTGCGAGAAGCTGCTGTTCGCGCTGTACGCAGTGAAGAACGAGTACCCTGAGGTCAAGCAGTGGCTGAACTCTCTGAGTGAGCGAACTTTCTAAATATCGCGTGCACCGTGACTGTTTTCCAGCTGACCATGAGACGCCGTCAATGACGTGTGATGTGGAAGCGTTTGCCGATTAACAAGATGGTCCCCATTGCCATAGTGATTTGTAATTCTCACCGCTGCAGACTCTGGCGAATTGGGAATTAACCTCATGAAAGGAAATTTTTAGTTTTCACCAACAGCCATTTTTTGCTGAAAATTCGAACTGGGGATTGGCAGAAGCTGCGCTCACTTAATTATACGAGATTCCAGGAACGGCAATAATATAATTACAAAAAGGCATTTTCCGTTTGACTGCTTTCCAGCTGACTTTATTAAGACGTCATCGATGAGTGTCTGTGCTCGCGTGATGCAAAAAGCGATTGTGGGGGCAAAAAAATAAATACATTTTGCCCCTCGCCATAGTATCGTCAATTTCTCACTCCTCGTCGGGAAATGCAGACGTTTATTAAATGAGAATGGACCCCGTGCACTCACAGCAATTATTTCTGAAAATTAAAGCCAGAAACGGCAACTATAGAATAATGTACAATCATTGTCTCTGCTAAATAACATTTAAGCAACTCTTCTGCCACAAACATCCTTATCATCATCATACATTTGCGTTTTTGTTACCTTTTCTTCTCTGGGTCTCTGTGGGGTTTGCTTTATGGGCCATAGTTTGGGTTTCATGGCCACAATCGCACTACCGTTGTAATTATATTTACATTCATGAACGTGATGTGGTGTAGCATCGGCCATTTGATGTCCTGACGCGGTTTATGGTGCCACCAGTGGCAATGAGGAGGAGGTTAATGGAGGAATGTTAAAGCCAGGAGGGTGGTGCAATGCGTTGGGGGGGGGGGGGTCTGAAAATTAGGTTTTTATTATTCTGTAGAGTCCACGTTGCTCCCACTCGCTGTGTGCGGTGCAACACAGCGGGTTTGTCGAATTGGAAAGGGGTCAGCCCTTGCCATCGCAGCGTAACTGAACGGTCACCAAAGCGAGCGACGTCAAACACTAAGACTCAAGACTGTTGTCCAAATGAATTGAGAGTGAGTTCGTTTGATATCAGTTTCGTGGTTTTTCTAGATAGCAACTACAGTGGCTCCCTCGTTGGACGATATTAATCGTTTCCACGAATACCATCGGCCTTTGAAATTATCACGTAGGCTTTCCCGACCAATATCATCCATAATATAGATGCTTTTGGGATAGATCGCGACAGCAGTTACAAGAACAATGTGCATGCACAATGTACATTGATTACCATATGAATAATGCAACTGGAAATGGAAAACCCATTGTAATGTATTTGCATTAATTAATCTCCCCCCACCCTCTTTGCACGTCAAAGGCTCACAAGTGACGTCATCACATCTACCCCTCTAAGGAACGAAACAGGAGGATTTCTCCACAAATAAGGCTGTTGCCTGATGAAGCTAGTTGTAATTACAATTGTACTCAGATTGTACATGTTGTGGATTTGCTCTCCAATCTACCAGTGTGCTGTACTAGTAAGGAATTGCTATGTTCTGTTTACATGACACTAAACCTCACTAATTGGCTGTGTCGAGTCGTGGCAGGTTTAACGACCAAACATTTATATTTATGCGATCTAACCCAAGAAACCTATATGATGGATTGAAATTATTGTTAATCGAATTTAGGAAACGCACGTTAAAGGCACATTAATTGTTTTTCCCCACTTTCTTGTCTTTCTTCACATTCATTTTATGGGGGCCATTGTTCTTATTTAACATTTAAGTGAAAAAAACCCACTAAGTGTTGAAGAGAGCTGTCTCCATAAGCAGCGCAACATGAAAACATTGACAAACTTAGCATCCAGTTGCTCTCAAAACAGCTCATAAAATGGGTGGCCACTGATTGGCTGAGGTCTGCCGCCGTGTCCACTTAGGAGCAGCTCCGATTGGCCGAAATTGGCGGTCCGCGTGGTATCATAAAACACGCACACACACGCATCGTTAATCGAAAATGTATCGTTAATGAGAAACAATCGTGGACCCCCATTGGGAGGAGGATATCGTTAATCGATGGTGTCGTAAAACGAAGGACCACTGTATCTTTGTAGTTTTTCTGTTGTATTACTGTTGTATTTCTGTAGTATATCTATTGTGATTGAAGATCGAAAAAACCCGACGACCTCGCTGCCTTTCAGGATTCTTCAAGAGGCTCTTGACCAAGTTCCCGAGGTTTTTGGCCACGACCAAGGACAATGGCTTACACAACCAAATCCGCTTCAACAAGGCGAAGATCTGTGAAGCTATAATGCATGACCTGGAACGGCTGCTCAGCTACCTCGAAAAGAGAAATTACTTCAGCAAGACAGTCACAGCGGTATGTATTTTATGTCTCCCGTGGAATGATGCAAAGACGGGCTTAACCTGCCAGCACCGCTGAGATCCTTGCTCTGGGCGCCACGGTGGCTCGGAGATGTTAACTCCCTCGCTTGGTAGAAAGAAGATCGATGATTATATCCCGACTCTGACGTCTGCTGTTGTATATTTAGAGTTTGCGGTGTCTTTCTCTCCGTAGTGGTAACGTGGATTTTTCTCCGGGTTCTCCGGTTTTTCCCCTCCACATTTAGTATCAAATTCACGCGTTTAGAGTATTTGGCTGGCTGCTATCAATTTCAACGTGATGATAAGCCACTTCGTTGAGCTATCATTTGTGATGTCAGGTCGCTTCTGAAAAAAAGAGCTCTATAGCACCTGGTAGAATAAAAACAAAACAAAAACGTGATAGAATCCATGGTTCTCACCTGAGATTGTTCAGTTACCACCATGTGTAACAAATTAGGAATTCATAAAATAAAACGAATCATTCTGTCTGCATGGATTAATACACTCCTTCACACTGGCAAGTCTTTAATGATGAGAAAAACAGACCATTGAATGGTTTTCTCTGCAGCAAATAGACACAGGATATACGAGCACGGTTTTATGATCAAATGGGTTGAGGAGAAATGTTTTTCAACTCATCAGCGAGCTGAAATTGTGTAATTTGGTGATTTAAATGCTTGTACGCGTGACAATTAATTTGGTATGGTGTCGGATGGTGGGAGGTGGGGGGGTCTAAACGACACAAAATCGGTCAGATCATTACGTGGCCTAACCCAAAATCCGATTATGGTTGTGGCAAGAGAGATTCTTGACGGCATGGAAAGGAACAACATGTTAATTTGAAGGTGTTGCAGGGTTTGATGGATATTTATTTTCACACAGACCCTTTCTTGTTCTGATGACGTACGTGTACGTCATCCGTTTTTTTCTCTGATTCTGTACCGATGAGATAGTGTAACGTCATCACATTTTTTTCTTCTAATTCTGTTCCAATGACGTACTACGTGTACGTCGTTGGAACGGAACTGGAAGAGAAAAGCTGAAATAATGCTATCAGTACCCAGGCTCCTCACAAGGCCATGTGGAAGGGCATGGTGTGACACACTTTTGGCACCAGATATCGAAGAGAGTGGCAGCAGTCGTGTCGCTATGATTGTCTGCAATGAGTAACAACGTCTTTATAAAAACAAAGGTGCTACTACGCCTCTCTCTAAATAAAATTAACCCTGAGCCCGCTTTGCACATTCCGAGATTCAACGGTGAACGGAGACACACCCACCACCCTTGCAACTTGCAGATGTCTCGAGAAATGGAAAGGGGTTAATATGTAGGTATTGCAGCATCGATAGATCTTCATTGTCGCACTAATAGAGCCCCATGTTATGTTTTGCAGGAGATAAGAGACATGGAGAAAAGAAAAGGACGTAAATCGGCGGTGACGCACCTGATAGAGCTCGTTCTGGGAAAAGGCCGAGGAAAGTCCAGGCAGTTCTTGGAGATCCTTTGGCAACTTCAAGCCCAATACCCAAAGATGACCCGCATCTTTGATGAAATGTGATGTTGTCTAGCCGAGTTGATTAATTGAAGTGACATTTCACTTTGTGATTTGTTTTTCTCTTTAGCAATCCACTTGTGTCACTGAGAGTTCCTAGTGGATGTTTGGATTCTTAAAATACTCATCAAACTAGCACCACTGAGATATTGGATTCAATTCCTCCTCCCTCCTCCTTTCTCCCTCGTCCATACTACCTCCTCTCCCCACTCCTCTCTCCATTTCGCCTAATCCTCCTACACCCCTATTCATCCTCCCGCATAGCAGGGAGTTCATCAGTAATGCAAGTTGATTCACGCTTCTGTTTTACCCCTGTCTGGCACACGAGCGACTTTAAACTCCAGCTCCTTGCCTCCGAGTTCATGATCGAACAATGCATCCATTTTTGCGAAACACACGCAAGATATAGGAATAGAGATATTCTTTTGTAATCATCATTATTATTATGACATTCACATTGAAATTAGTGGCAGAAGACAGATTCGGGAGTTGCCTTGTGTTTGAAATGCTGCCTGCGAATGATCAAAGTGGGACAGTGGTGTTACTTGGCGACGAGCGGTTTGAGATTGACGGCCAAAGTGGCACAAGCTGACTCAAAGTATCATCAACGTGCTCACAATGGCCGTGTTTGTTCAATAATGGCCACATCGAACATCACTTGAGTCAGCATCACTGATATCTGGGTTCCGGCTCTTGGTTCAGGTGGCTCTTTCTCTCTCAGCATCATTAATCATCCGCAAAACGTCACGGTACTCGAATTGTAAATGTTGTAGTTTTCCTCTCCAACACAATGATTAGTGCTGTACTAGTAACGAATTGGCCTGTTCTATTAACGTGACAAACCTTACTAGTTTGCTGTGTCGGGTGGTGGTGGGTTTAACAACACATTCATATTCACGCGGTCTAACCCAAAAAAAAACTGTTATTGATAATATTGATCGCGAAAGCATCCTACTTTGTGTTAACTGAAAGAGTGAAGATTTGTATGGGTGGGCAGGGGGAAGAGGGAGTGGGGGAAAGAGAACATTTTATACATCAATTGATAAACACGTGGTCATAGGCGGCGTTTGACTTTATAATTGTGTGGGGGGGGGGGGGGGGTGCAGGGGTTCGCTTTGTCCCTCACATTAGGAATGGCATGGTGCATATAATTATATATCCTTGTGTAATAAAGGACTCTGCAGGCGATGTAGGTCTCCGTTTGTCCTTTATTGGGTTCTTGTCTCGCACCCCGCGGCATCCACGGTCGGACCCGCGCCTCTTCTGCCGTGCACCCCGTGCACGCGTCGTGTGCCCCGCACACCCCGCAGCCACTCCGCTGCTCCGTGTGCCCCACACACTCCTCTAACTCCTCACACCCCGCTAGCTCCTCACCTTCCGCTAGCTACTGTTACCCCACGTACACCGCTGGCCGACGGTGCCGTGACTCCGACCACGTGGCAAATGGCGCCACTCCTCCGCCACCACCCAGCGTGGCTCTCCCCTATTTCCACTCTCTTTCAACTTCCAGATCTCTTCCGGCTCTCACCCTATATCCTCCTTCTCACGTGACCCTGACTCCTCCTTCCCGTACTGCCCCTGTCTCCGCCCCCACTCATCCCGACTCCCATTGGAGCCGAGGTGAGCAGTGGCTCCTCCCACACGCTCCGTCTATCAGGCTCCGCCTCCCCAATACCCCGGCCCGTGTAAGTGGAGCGGAGGCAGCACCCACCCTGTCCTTGCTCGGATTACACTTGTATAGGGGAAATTGAGTAAAACAATCCATATTTTTTATGATTCTCCCTTGTGATGGGACTTTGAAGGATGAACATTGAGATTTATAAGGGCGCAGCGTGACCAATAAGGTCTGAATTTGTCTGTAATAAGATAGAGCACTCATACGGGGTTGACAGGTATGCAATTGGGCCAAAGGCAGATGGGGCGGTGCATTAAGACACGAGGAGCTGGGGCTGGAGCAGTGTTGGTGAGTCATGATCTAGGACGATCACATTGCGATTGAACACGTGGGCACACTTAGCCCTGCTCATTGTGCCATCGTGTTGGTGAGTCGGTAGGAATGAATAAACGGGCACCGGTCGTGGCTCTTCAACATCGCCTAGAGGTCAATGGTTGTCCACCTTTTGTTTGGTTACTACATTAATCTGTGACCCACCCCGCCCCCTCCCCATTGTTGAATTTAATTTCTAATGAATAGTTGTATCCCCCTTGCGTGACCCAAAGTGGTTCTGAGAAATACATGTTACGAATAATGAACATCACTATTTTAGCCAATGGTCCAATCTGTGAGGTCATCCAAACTTAGCGAAGTAACTGCAAGCGAATACAAACAAAAATGTCAACGGACACTGCACGGGTGACGTAATCTGTTCGCGATCGCTGGTTACACTTGGAAACCCTGATTGTTTATGATCGATGAGTTTAGAAAGGTATTTTTAAATCATTCTAGGTTACCTATCGATTTTAATGTTATCGTAGTTATTTTACATTGGCAGATACATACGTGATTATTCACCAATGACTCTCACATATGATAGAATTTCACACGTATATAAGTAACCTTCACATACCCTCCCGGGACATTGCCACGTGGTAACCCCGGATGAGAACCACTGGCCTAGATGTTCCCTGAGCTCCTTGTGGCTGAAGAGGGGGTGATAAACAGTGAGATATTTACACCACTGGAACCTCATTTGCCAGTAGAAAAATATGATAATTTGTTTTTTACCCTTTTATCTGGCAACAAAACTGACACCTTTTTTTTTACAAGGAGTCATGTTTGCATTGCCCACAATACCTGCAGTCGGAATGCAAAGGAAAAACATAACTCTGATAATGCATGCACTGTCCTTGAAGTTGATTGTTCCACACCCGAGACAGCTTTCCTTAGAGCCTAGTCTCACATGGTGTTGGACCAGATGACGCGCCCAGATGTGCGCCTTTTGGCGTCATCTGGTCCAACACCATGTGAGACTAGGCTCTAAGGAAAGCTGTCTCGGGTGTGGACCAATCAACTTCAAGGACAGTGCATACATAATCAGAGTTATGGTTTTTTTTGCATTATGACTGCAGGTATTGTGGTCTATGTAAACATGACTCCTCGTAAAAAAAAGGTGTCAGTTTTGTTGCCAGATAAAAGGGTAAAAAAACAACTAGCAAACAGTGATATGTACCGCAAACTCTGCAGTACAAGCGGGGAGCGGCTGGGGTCCCCCTCGGGTGACAGAGAGAGAAGTGAAGCGAGCAAAAGCAAGACGACAAACGCACGGGCGCAATTGAAACCTCTGTCAATTTGATTCATTGATAACCACCGCTGTGATCTTGGTGAAGTTCAAGGCCAGAAGAACAACACACACAGTGGACCAACGCATCACACGGGAAACAACCGAGATCCTGGTTTCGGGCTCTGGGCATCGAAACGTGTTTAGAATCAGAATCAGAATAATTATCCTGGAGGAATCTAATGGAAATCCATCTCTAAAAGCCTTTTCTAACGGAAACGTCGTCGCGTGAGTTTAAATAAAATGAACACTGAAATGCCGAATCCGAATTGTCGTAATATTTCTGAGGTAGGTGATCAGAGAGACTGCTCTGTCGGCTTGTTTCAGTTTTTTTTCAGTTACATTTTTTAGGTATAACCCTGTGAGCCATGAGGCTAATGACTCGGGTGCAACCGCAACAAACAAATCATAACAAAGAACATCTTAAATTGACGTTTCCCAACAGAAACATCCAGGAAAAACCAGTAAAAATCTTCAGAGCACAATTAGCGCAATTAGAACAGAGGCAGCCTCCAGAGGGGCCGTGATATGCCCCAAGAGTATTAATGTGTTCGGCACTAATTATAAATTATAATGTCGTACCGACTCATCAAGGAGAGGGCACACTGAGTCGTACGATCCCTTTCCAGGAGGCTTCTGCATTGATATTTAATGTTAAGACTCGCTTTACTACCCGGCTTCGCCCGAGACTTGGATTCTTGTCTTGGATTAATATACGGCCTACACGGAGGGTGGGGGGATGCGTGACGTCAGCAGGCAGATTGCGTAACGCTTCCGCATGCCGGTGACATCACATATGTGACGTCACCACTCACTTGCCGTGCAAAATATATCCATTATTGCGCCCCCCCCCACCCCCCCCAAATACAAAAGTCTATTTTTATAATTTTTGCATTGTGTACAGCCTGGAAGCCACCCACATGCCATAGAGACCCAAAGAGACACAGATACCAATAGATACACATAGAGACCCATAGAGGTGCATAGAGCCCTTTAGAGATGTATAGAGATCCATCGACATAAACTATGTTTATTTAACCAGGAAGCCTCACTGAGCTATGTAGCTGTTTATTCAGAAGCGACCTGGCTATCACCAATGAAAACGGCTCAACCAAGTGGCTTATCGTGCTCCCAATGGATACAATGGAAGAAGGGTGGAGAGAGGAGGGGGGCCTCGTGCTGCCATTGGTTCAAAGGGGGCGGGAACGCGTGCGCCTTTGGGAATTTATTGGTGGTGGAGTGCAGAGGGCGGGACAGTGTCTCGCGCTCCCATTGGTTAGAATCGAATGTTGGAGGCGAGGTGTGGGGAATGGTCTCGCGCTCCCATTGGTTAGAATGGAGAGTGGAGGCGGGGAGGGGGAATGGTCTCGCGCTCCCATTGGTTAGAATGGAGAGTGGAGGCGGGGAGGGGGGAGGATCTCGCGCTCCCATTGGTTAGAATGGAGAGTGGAGGCGGGGAGGGGGAATGGTCTCGCGCTCCCATTGGTTAGAATGGAGAGTGGAGGCGGGGAGGGGGGGAGGGTCTCGCGCTCCCATTGGTTAGAATGGAGAGTGGAGGCGGGGAGGGGGGGGAGGGTCTCGCGCTCCCATTGGTTATAATGGAGAGTGGAGGCGGGGAGGGGGAAAGGGTCTCGCGCTCCCATTGGTTAGAATGGAGAGTGGAGGCGGGGAGGGGGGGGAGGGTCTCGCGCTCCCATTGGTTATAATGGAGAGTGGAGGCGGGGAGGGGGGGAGGGTCTCGCGCTCCCATTGGTTAGAATGGAGAGTGGAGGCGGGGAGGGGGGAGGGTCTCGCGCTCCCATTGGTTAGAATGGAGAGTGGAGGCGGGGAGGGGGGAAGGGTCTCGCGCTCCCATTGGTTAGAATGGAGAGTGGAGGCGGGGAGGGGGGAAGGGTCTCGCGCTCCCATTGGTTAGAATGGAGAGTGGAGGCGGGGAGGGGGGAGGGTCTCGCGCTCCCATTGGTTAGAATGGAGAGTGGAGGCGGGGAGGGGGAATGGTCTCGCGCTCCCATTGGTTAGAATGGAGAGTGGAGGCGGGGAGGGGGGGAGGGTCTCGCGCTCCCATTGGTTAGAATGGAGAGTGGAGGCGGGGAGGGAGAGGGTCTCGTGCTCCCATTGGTTAGAATGGAGAGTGGAGGCGGGGAGGGGGGAGGGTCTCGCGCTCCCATTGGTTAGAATGGAGAGTGGAGGCGGGGAGGGGGGGAGGGTCTCGCGCTCCCATTGGTTAGAATGGAGAGTGGAGGCGGGGGAGGGGAGAGGGTCTCGTGCTCCCATTGGTTAGAATGGAGAGTGGAGGCGGGGAGGGGGGAGGGTCTCGCGCTCCCATTGGTTAGAATGGAGAGTGGAGGCGGGGAGGGGGAATGGTCTCGCGCTCCCATTGGTTAGAATGGAGAGTCGAGGCGGGGAGGGGGAGGGTCTCGCGCTCCCATTGGTTAGAATGGAGAGTGGAGGCGGGGAGGGGGGGAGGGTCTCACGCTCCCATTGGTTAGAATGGAGAGTGGAGGCAGGGTGGGGGGAGGGTCTCGCGCTCCCATTGGTTAGAATGGAGAGTGGAGGCGGGGAGGGGGGAGGGTCTCGCGCTCCCATTGGTTAGAATGGAGAGTGGAGGCGGGGAGGGGGAGGGTCTCACGCTCCCATTGGTTAGAATGGAAAGTGGAGGCGGGGAGGGGGAGAGGGTCTCGCGCTCCCATTGGTTAGAATGGAGAGTGGAGGCGTGG